TCAGCAGCAGAGGCACCTGGCCCTGCAGGCTGGCTGTGCTCGCTCATCTGTCCTCACTTCTTCCACCCTTCATTGGTTGGGGTCACGTTAGCTGTAACCACCCCTATTACCTGCAGGACCAAACAAGTAGGCAGCCATAATTCAGAAATCACAGGCACATACCTTTCAGGTGGCGAAATCACCGGATGTCGGTGCAGTGCCCTGACAGACCGCTGCTGTAGTCACTGTGCTGCAGCTGAGAGCCCTGTACTGCTCAGGGACACCGAGGCTTTTAATTGTTCAGGGTAATAGTGTCTTTTTTAAGTTCATTTATCCAGGGGTTTCTGAGTACATGATTACAAATTCAGCATTTGCTGGTCCTACAGCTTGGACTTGACTGTTTAGATCCAAGCTGCTCAGGATGTGGCTCAAATGTGACAGTGAATATGGGTAAGACAAGTGGGCAACCCCATGGCAGAGAATCAAGTGCAGAGGAAAGTTTATGTTTGCATTTTGTGATTCACAGCATCTAGTCAATATAAATGGAGTGCTTACTTTCATTACAACCCTTCCCTTTCAAATTAACCCCCTCTGAAAGGTGTTTGGAAATCAATAAACAGCAGTTTGTGAAATAATGACTAATGAAAGACACACATTTTGAAAAGATTCCCTTCTCAGGTAGTATATACGTGTCTCTCTGGAATATTTACAACTGAGGGTAGTCTACCTGTCAGGATGCTGTGTTTCTTGACTGAGGTGAGAAAGCAACATAAGGACTGAGTATCAGAGATTCCATGTTCTCTTTTGGAATGTGACTTATTTACCACAGAGAAGAAGGGTGGAGGAGACACTGCTTTTGTTATAGAAATGTGGTTGCTGCCTAGCACTAGTCATTTGGAACTCATTCTTTTCAGGCTTCCCTTTAGAAATTATAAGCTTGCATAAGAATATGTTTAAAGTTCTCACTGAGATCTTCAGTTCAAAGAGTTGAGCTGTCAAAAAAACATTCTTGAGGCTCATTGGGCATTAAAGCACCATGAAGATAATGCAACTGTGTATGGACCACTTACCTGGACCATTGGCCAAGTTAGTATAATATCATGGCCCTGAAAAATGTAAGAATAAGTACCAATAAAACCATAGACAAACGAAAGATTTACGTTGGCAAAGTTTAGTTACAATATTTGACTAAATCCACTGTTAGAGTCAACAACTGACTCTATGTGTCATGACATATAGGAAAATCTGACCACTTGCAAAGAGGCAACATTTCAAGGTCATTTTGAACAAATGAGAATATAAACAGTCTAAAATGGGCTTGTTAACATTGCAGAGATGAAGTTACCACTGATGTTTGGGTTTATAAAATGATCAAGGCAATTAGTACCTTAGAAAGGATTTGGGAATTTTGCGTTGACATGAGGGCAAGGAAGACAGCTATTCAAGCAGAACCTTCCTTTGGGCTCCTCTCCATCACTCAGACCAGCACACTCATTATGGTCCCATATCATTTCCCTGACGTTAGTCGGAGCCCGCCATGCTGGCTAGAGATCAATGCATTTGTAAATGGTCATGTTTCCCCATAGGGACTGTAAGATATACATGGTTGATAGAGATTACAGTTGCAGATGCCCATGCAATATATAAACATGTATCTAAATGTTTTAAATAAAGACAGATGGAAGAATGTGTCCCCTAGATGACAAGAGGGTAACGTGAATGTGCAGTGCTTCTGGTTCTTACCAGGTGTTGCTCCAGCTGTGTCAGGTGTGTACTATGGCCCAGAGTGCACACACATGCATACCCAAGTGCATCCCAGAGAGAGGAAGTAGGCACATGATTCATCTCTAGCTGCGCACCTGCCAAGTATTGGCAGGCTACACAGGGTCACAACCTACATGTTGTGAACCATGATTTTTCCTCCCTAGGCAGCATGTGGTTTTGAAGGCAAAGGCTGGGAGTTTGCGTTCCCAGATGCCATATGTGTGTGGTGAGCAGACAACTATCATGTCTTTCTACGTACATGGCCACAAATCATTACAGGGTGATGCCTGGCTGATAGACTCGATAGCCTGAAATTTCTCTGTGTGCTTCACTGTACTCCAAAGTGAGCTGAAAGACACCACGCAGTACTGGGGGCTCCGACAGTGAGCAGGAGGGCTCTGCCTCTTCTGGAATGATGCACGGGAAGCTGCAGCAGCAGTCGGAAGACTGACTGTCCATTAATTTTCTTACATATTCACAGTGAGCTCTAACTGGCCACTGACACGTTTTCCTGGGTGGTGAGCTGTGACTGAGCCCAAGGAGCTAAGAGGAAGTGGCTACCTCCATAGTTAGTCTGCACCCACAAACTGTGTTTTTCCCTCTCAGTTTCCCTTTGTTCTCTCTTCTCTCCTGTCTTAGTTACTTTTCCCTCATTGCTGAGACAAAATACCTGACATCCAAAGTTAAAGGGAAAGAGGTTATTGGCTCACAGTTTGTAGAGGTTTCAGTCCATGATCAGCTGGCTGCAAGGCAGAGAAGGCAAACAGGCATCACAGAGGAGAAACAACATGGTGCACACAAGGTAGCAAAGGCAACAAGAGACTTTACCAGAGCTTTCTGCTCCTTTCTTCTTATTCAGACTACTGGGACTAGGGCGGTCTTAAACCGATCGCTCACACGTAGGGGTTTAGTAACCACACACCTTAATCCCAGCATCACCCACTCTAGATCCAGCCACCTCTGAGAAAGTCCCACCTCATCTGCATGAGGCTTTGGGGGGACATCTAAACACAAGCCATAACCCCCAAAGACTCATGCATATCTCTTTATGCAAAAAGCATTGAGTCTATCTCTAAGAGTTGCTAAATTCCTAACAGATTCAGCATTGCTGAAAAGTCCAAGTCCAAAGTCTCCTCTGAGATTTAAGGTAAATTCTTAGCTGCAAGCCCCTATGTAAATGAAAAGAATGTTAAACTCTTCCAACATTCAATGGTACAAGACAGACACTACCATTTCAAAAGTTACAGACGGGAGAATACAAAGGAACGGGGAACACGCAAGTCCCAAATCTAGCAGGCCAAACATTACATTCCACAGTTCCACTTTCAGCATCTCCCAGCAATCTGTGGCAAGTTGTGAACTCCTAAAGGTTTGGGTGGCTCTACCTCTGTGGTAATTCTGGTGGTTGTACTCCCATGGCTTCTCTCTGGGGCCGGCTCTGCTCCCTCCTTGCAGCTTTCCTCAGACCATCCATGTTCCGGCTTCTCCAGACTTCTGGGGTGTCCACCGCATCTTCGGCTTCACACTCGCAGCTTCATACACGGTCCTCCTGGGCACACAGCCTGGCCTCCCAGGCCTTCTTCTGAAGTCTGGGTGGAGCCTTCCTGACCCCTCAACTCTTGCATTCTTCAGGCTTCTAAAACCAGTGCTACACAGATGATGCCAAGGTCTGCTGCCAGCTGTAGCTGTAGCCAGGCTTCCCTCTCTCTCAGTTGTAGGGGTCCAGTGCCTATGAACCAGAGTCCAAGGGACGAGTTCCCTAGGCCACCACCATTTTGGGACATGGTGTTCTGATGCCGTCTTCTCATAGCAAAGTCCTCCACTTTTGCAATTTTGAGGCTGCAAAGGGTAGAGTTCTGCTGCTTCTCATGATTCCCTCAGGCCACCTTTTCTATTTTCCTGTCCCTTTGCAGCAACCAAGTTCTCTACTCTATCTGTGCAGTCCACAGCTGTAATGGAGCTTCCCTTCTAGACAAACTCAAAACATTTTAAATCATTTTGCTGGACTCTCTGCTCTTGGTTTTCAACATAGATCTGGCTAAAAGCCCCAACAGCAGCCGTGCCATGGCCTAAACATTAGACTGCCTTGAAATTCCTTCTACCAGATTAATTAGTCTGCCACCCTTAATCTCAGTCTCAGGCAGTCTCTGAACATTAGAAAAATGCAGACAAAAATGCTCTGCCAAGGCATCACACACATTGTCTGGAGTCCAATGGCCAATACAGTCCTTCTTTCCTGCAGAAACCTCCTGAGCTGGTCTTTACTGGCTTTCTGGTCTTCTGAACTCTGACCAGAATCTCCCATGCAGAACAGCCTACTTCTCTAGAACATCTCTACTTCTTCAGTGAGTATCTCCAAATCTTTCCTAACCCTTCCTTTCCCACAAGCCAGTCCCAAAGGCTCTTGAGCCACAAGGCCAGGTAATGTCACAGCAATGACCCCACTTCTCTGATACCAAATTTCTGGGTTAGTTACTTTTCTTCATGGTGAGTTGAAATACCTGACACCCAAAGTCAAAGGAGAAAGGTTTATTTCTTCACAGTTTGTAGAGTTTTCAGCCCATAATTGGCTGGCTCAAGGCAGGGTGGCACATGACAGAGAAACAGCTCATGGAGCCCACATGGTAGTAAAAGCAACAAGGGAGTTAGATAGCATCTTCCTGCCCCTTTTATGTCACTCAGACCACTTAGGGCTTAAATCCTTAATTCTAGTGTCCTCAGGCCCAGCCCCACCACACATGAATCACACTCTAGGTTCAGCTGCCTCTCCTCATTCAGTTGAGGCTTTGGGTGGGCTCTAGACAGAGCCACAGCTCTCCTGTCCTCTTCCTCTTCTTTCCTCCTTCCTGTATGTACACTTATTTCTCTCCATTCCCAAGGGACTTGGGAAAGTAAACAAGGAGCAAATGCCGTGGAACAACACTCTCACAACCACGGCAGCTGAGAGCACAACCAACTGTGAGACTGGTGTGGCTTATTATTGCTCAGCCACCCTGTGAAAGCTGTCCCATGAGGGTCCTTAAGGATCAGAAGAGAGAAATATAACCTGCATAATTTTTATTATAAAAATAGAGGAAACCTATGATTCCTCACAGATATATGGGTTCCATGGGAATGTATTGGAGGACAGTAAATTTATTAACACCACACTTGCTTTTTTAAATGAAAATTTTCAAATGTATTGAAAATAGCATTCACACCCAGTATAGCCACTCACCTTTAATAAAGCCTAATACTTTTCCACTTTTTTTCCAGATGTTGTGTTTCAGATACTAGTGAAAATTCCTGCATGGTTACCCCTCTTGACTTTACTTCCTCTCCTATTCAAAGGTGATTATGAATAGAGATTATTTCCACACACATTTTGCCCATGTTCCCATCAACAGACATTTAGATCACATGATTCACCTCTGACAGACAAGACACTCCTTACAGCAAAGTGTTCAAACTTCTAAAAATATGTTTGACATTACATACACACTTCAAAATATATACGTGCCTTTCTTAGGTCAGGCTCCCTCTCAGCAAAGTCCGAGACAGACTTTCTTACCCAGGGAAACACCGCAGAGAGGGGTCGGGAGCTAAGCAGAGCTGTGTTTCCCTGGGGCAGCCTCAGCCTCACCCTCAGAGAGGTCTGGACTGGGAATGGCGGCAGGTCTGTGTCATCTGTTTTCATACCCTTGTTATCCTTTGCTTCGGGGCACTTGTTGGGGATTTTGGGGGGGGTTATAACTCCCCAGGCATTTTTAGGCGAAGTGGCCCCGACAGTGGAGGGTGGCTTTGGAAGAGGACAGCTGGGAACAGTTAGCAGCTAACAACACCTGGGGCAAGTGCTGCCCCATGAGGGGACTCTGGCAGCCAAGGATAGCTTGACCACACCTCCAAAGCCAGGAAACTTTCTGATCATTTTCCTTCTACAATCTTTTCCTCTCCTGTTACTCAATAATTTGATTTTGTTATTGTTAATAAGTCTTAACCAACGTTAAAAAAAACACAGCTTATAATATACTTAGGGCAACTGCTGGAATAGAAACATCTTCTACTTGTGTAGATCCTGCTAAAGGGCTGCAGAATGTTATCGATTTGTTTTCCTGTCAGCAGTTCTGGTTTTTCACTTCTATATCAATATTGTCAGTGTTTTTAGACTTTAATTTGTACTAAGCTTATGCTTGTGAATGAATATATTATTACTCCTACAGATCAAATTTCTGTGATTATTACTTCATGTTTGTGTCTCAGGAAAGCTTCTCTTGTGTAATTTAGCCATTCATATTCATGTATCTTTGAGGCATTTTCTTTTCTATTTCTGGGGTTCCTTATACATTCTATAAAGAATTTTTTGTTTTGGTTAAATCATTTAAAATATCTTCTTCCTGTGTATGACTTTTTACTTTGTGGTGTCTTTTGATGTATAGATATTTTACATTTTTATAAATCCAAACTTATTTATATTTTCCTTTATGTTTCATTTGTGCAATTATGAAGACATTTTTCTCTAGCTTAGGAACATAAAGGTATTTTATTTGATTTTATTTTAAACATTTTGAGCTTTCATTTTTTTATATTTAATGCTTCATACATCTCAGTGGTTTTGGTGGTAGAGAATAGGGGTGCAGCTTTGTCTATTTTCTATCTGGGCTACCCATTATGCACCATTTATTGAACAATCCATCTTATCCTTGTAATTTGTAACCCACCCTGATACACTGCTTCTCCTATTTATTCTGGTCTGTTTTTACTTACTCCCTATGCTACTGAAGTGATCCCTGCTTTTATGCACCTGTACCAACAGCACACTCTTAGAGCTCTGCAATAAATCATGATTTTTATAGGGACAAATTACTCATTTTGTTCATATTTTCTTGCACTTTAAAATTTCACATGCATTTTAGGATCAGGTTTCAAAATTCTATAAATTTTGACATAATTTTTATTGGAATTAAATTTGTATATCAGTTCATGAAGATGATATATTGATGGTACTGGATCTTTTCATCAATAGATATTGGTATTTATATTCTTCTATTCAGATTTGTTTCAATATTTTTCCTTTAAAGTTATAGCATATGTTTTCCTAAATTTATTTCTTGATGTCTTCTATAGTTTATTGATATTTTAAATGGTTTCTTTTTTCTATTACATTTTCTATTTGGTTATTGCTAATCTATAACCACAACTGATTTTTTTTTCTTTATTTTCTTGAGTTTATTGATACATTTTAGGGATACAGTACAGTTGCATTCATTGTTGGGATCTTGTACCTTTACATGACAGATCTTGGTTCTCATTTTTTCCCCTTGTCCCTGCCCTCCCTTCACCCCCTCCTCCCCTCCCCATTAACAAACACTTTATTTCCATTTTTTCATTTTCTCATGTTTTTTTCTTTTCCCTTAACAGCTGATTTTGTGTATACAAACTATCCTGAACTTTCATATTAACTTTGTGTAGACTCTCTTTCATTTTCTATGGATAATCATATCACCAGCAGTAAGAGGTCTGCTTGTTCTTTCCCAAATTTTATGCTTCTTATTTCTTTTATTTTACTTTATTATTTAGAACTTTCATTACAATATTGCAATGAAGGAATGATAGTGGTTAAAATAGTTTAAGAGAATGCTTGCTGAGGGTGGGTGTGGTGGCGCATGCTTGTAATCCCAGCACTCGGGAGGCTGAGGCAGGGGGATCACTGCTAGATTACATGACATCTTGGTTCTCATTTTTTCCCCTTGTCCCTGCCCTCCCTTCACCCCCTCCTCCCCTCCCCATTAACAAACACTTTATTTCCATTTTTTCATTTTCTCATGTTTTTTTCTTTTCCCTTAACAGCTGATTTTGTGTATACAAACTATCCTGAACTTTCATATTAACTTTGTGTAGACTCTCTTTCATTTTCTATGGATAATCATATCACCAGCAGTAAGAGGTCTGCTTGTTCTTTCCCAAATTTTATGCTTCTTATTTCTTTTATTTTACTTTATTATTTAGAACTTTCATTACAATATTGCAATGAAGGAATGATAGTGGTTAAAATAGTTTAAGAGAATGCTTGCTGAGGGTGGGTGTGGTGGCGCATGCTTGTAATCCCAGCACTCGGGAGGCTGAGGCAGGGGGATCACTGCTAGTTCCAGGCCAGCCTGGGTGGCATAGTAAGTTCAAGGCCAGTCTGAATCTGTTTCCAAAAACAGAGAGAATGCTTGCTATAGGTTTAGGGATGTTAAAGAAGTTCCTTTTTCATTTATAATACCGGTTATAGAGATGTTTTAAAATATCTCAAATATTACATTTTACTAAATCACCTTTTGTATTCATTACGATAATTACATTCTTACTCCTCTAATCTGTATTTAGGTACAGGACACAGATTTGCTTATATGAAACTTTTGTGATATTTCTAAGAAAAGGCCCATTCGGTTTTTATGCGCTGGTAAATAATGTTAGTACTTTATTTAGGATTTTGGGTCTCTTGGCAAATATATCCATATATCCTTTTCTTTAGCCCTTGTCTGGATTTGAATCAGTTATACAAATGTTGATATAAAGTGAACCAGAAATACTACTTCTGCTTTTATTCTCTCAGTTTACCAGATGAATTCCAAAGCAAAATCTAGTTGTAAATCACTTACAAAAGACTCTGAAACTTAGCTCTGCTTTTTATTATGTGAGTTTAAACACATATATTGATTGAGTTTTCTGCTATATTTGAACTTATTTCTATCCCTTTATTTCAGGTTTTCTGTTTGCCTTTTTTCTTCTTGCTGATTTTCATGGACTCTCTCCCCGTGAACAAACATGGCTTTTACACTCTTACCTTCCATCTGCTGTTCTGAAGCTAGATTGTTTCCCCACCATTTTAGTTGTCACTCTTGAATGTTTAACAAAATATTTAACCATATATCTTTCTACAAAGATTTAGCTAGTTACTATTTTTATCTTCTTCCAAATACAATGATATCTTAGCCTGCTTTTATTACCAATGAACAGAGGCTCCTACTTCTATCTTTCTATATTTTCAGAGCATTTATTGTGTAGTTAAAAATTTGAAATGATTATTCTTTTGGGGAGGGTCTTATTTCCTTTTTTCCTCCTGGGCTACCTTCAGATTAAGGTAAATCATTTGAGAGCTCCCTGAGAGATGGGCTCTCCAAGATTGGTACTATGGAAATGCCTTCCTTTTGTCTTGCAAAATGAGTCAAAGGGGCCGCTGGGAGAGAATAAGAGGGAACGGGGGAGAGGGAGAGGGAGAGGGAGAGGGAGATTCGCTGACAGGAAGAGGATTGCTACATAGGCTTTACTCCAGAAACTGAACTCACCAGAGGCAAAAAAATTTTGCGGGGGCTCCAGCAATCCCTTGAAGGTTTGGGAATTGCCACAGTGACCAGTTTTGCCTCCTGATCCCGATGTCTCAATGGACTTGGAAAATTTATAAGCAGCCCTATTTGCACCATTTTCCCATTGAGGAATGCAGGTTCCATCTAGCTGAGTTTATGTTCCCCAAATTGCAGATCTGTTCTACTCTGAGTAAAACTATGTTTGCTTTATTTTAACATCATTTACCCCTTTGGGGGACAGGGTCTTACTCAGTTGCCAGGCTAGCCTTAAACTTGAGATTTTCCTGCCTCAGTCTCCTGAGTACCTGTGATTATAGGTGTGCCCTGCTCTCATTTATGATTTCTTGGTTTATAGTTTATACAATTTAAAGACTACCTTGACATACAATTATAGAATGGCAGTTGTTTCCTGTCAACTCTGAAAATATTTTTCTGGGTATGGGCGTGGGCAAGGCAGGGGCATTGACCACAGCTAAGGAAAGAGCTTCCTCCTGTGCTACAGAGTTGTTACACTGTGTCTCCTTGTGGATTTGGGTTTCTATATCTCTCCCAGACTTGGGGATGCCCTTCAGTCTGAGTATGTGTATCTCTTTCTAAGCTTTACAAACCATTTGCTATGGTTTCAAAGTTTCTTTTCTCCTTTATTCTGCTGCTTCTTCAATAACGATTTCATACCTTAGCCTCTTTCTTAGAACATTTGACACCTCCTCTGTCCTCCACCATTCCAAGTTTGCCATTTTCTACCCCCAACGAAGCGCTCTCCAAGGACCTTTTCTTCCTTCTCATACTCAATCCATCAAACGATCCTGCTGGGTCTAATTCCAAACTAAACCTAGAAAATGACCCCCCCATCCCTCAGCCTAAACTGAGATTGTCTTTCTGCTGCCGCTCTGCTCCTCACAGTCCCCACGGTGATTTTAAATTCCACTCCCACCCTGACTGTCCCTGCCCGCCTTACCTTCTCCATGGTACTATAGCGGTGAGCAGGGTGCCTTTTTCACAACGTTGTTTCCTTTTGATTCTGATTACATTCATTCACTGTTCCATCCATCAGTGCTGCTGAGATGATGGTAAGGGTGCTCAGAAGAGTCAAGTTTTGTGGGTTTTGCTAACTCTGTGTCCTCAGCGCCTGCAGCGAGGACATGCAGTGTAAGAATTCCGTATGTATTTGTTACATGGGTACATGTGTCTGAAGAAAGAGGAATACATTCTTTCTGATGTGAGTCTTGTGCATGGGGGGGTTCAATTTGGGAGAGTTGGAGAACGCAAATAAATGATGAGAAATGGATCTCAAATCATTATGAAAATGCTATTATTTTGGAGAATCGGCATTTCTTCCTGTATTTCAGCATGCTTGTGATTTTTTAAAGTATGGGCATTGTGACTGCATGGTAAGTTAGGTGCTGATGAGACACGCAGAAGCAAAAAAAAAAAAAGGAAACTTTGCAGCCTCCCACCCACGTGAAGACTGAATAAACAAACCAACTGCCTTTCTGGGCTTGTGAGACTTGGTGGAAATCACAGGAGACTTTCCTGGGACATGTGTTGTGTAACAAATTCTGACAAATACAGGGTCATCAAAGAGATTTCTCTTTTGTACACTGAGAGGTCTGTGATCCAGGAAGTGGTCAGCTGCCTGGGATCTCCTGCCTCCCAGATGGAGTCCAGATTGAGCATGACAGAATGAGAAACAAGACCAATTTTAGCGAGCAGGAGCTGTCTGGCATCAGCAAGGGGGTGCAGCAAAGGAGATGCTGAAACCAAGCGATCGCTTTTCTACCAAGCTCATTTAGGAGAGGTCAGAGGGTAGGCAAAGTTGGGCAATAAAATGACAAGGAAGGAAGGAATGACTTCTAGTTGTTCAGGCAATGATGATACATGATACTGTCATTGATCTAAAGAGCTGTGTATTTTCTTGGGATAGGCATTTTAGTGAGAAACACGTGCAAGCATCATGTTCTGAGGGAAGAAAATTATTGTATCTATCCTCAGCATTTCTCAGTAAAAGGAATAATTTGCGATTATATAGCGTGTTATAATTGTTCTCGGTATGTAAGCCATTAGACATTTCAGTCATGAGAGGACAGACCCTGAGAACGGGAAGGTGCCTTCCTCTGTCCTCCCCTGCACCCTGCCTGTGGGTAGTGCAGTTGCAGACACACAGAGAACCTTTACTTTCTCCTTCGGATATAAATTCCGGTTTTGCAGACGAGAGGAAATGAAGGTGTGCAGCTGGTTGTGGCACAGCTGGACCCAGGAGAAGAAATCTCAGTTTTGCACCATTTCGCTCCCACGTGTGCCACTGTCCGGGGGCCTTGTGGTGCAGCATGGGAGGCACAGCATGGGAGGCATAGCGCTTTGGCAATTGTCTAGTGCCAGCGTCATCAGGGTTCTCGATGAAGAGCTACTGTTGATTTACCTGAAACTGAATACTCTACCAAGGAAAGCACTGTAAGTGTTGCTTAAGTAAGCAAACCTTGCCAGGCAGGGGCACTGGGCATCGCCGATGTGCTGGCTGAAGTGTGCAAGTCTATCCACCCAGGAAATTTTATCAAAGTCTCCAAGACTGGCCCAGCTGCAAGGAAGCAGTGCCAAAGAACTCTGAGAAAAACACAGCAGTGTTTCTCCCAGTCCAAGCGACTTACTCAAAAGGCTTCCCGCTTTCTTCCTTAAAGTTGGCGTCCAATTCTGACTCTGGCATGGACTGCAGATCTTCTGCCTGCAGGTGTCCGGGCTTCCTCCGCAGCACACCGTGGGCAGCGCCCGCTAGCCCGAATTTCCCTTCAGCTTGTCCCCAGTAACCGTGCGGTGTGCTCCCCAGGCCCTCGGCCCGTTAGCAGGGTGTCTCCCTGGAAGCATTCACTAACAGGAATGCTCTGGGACCCTAGCACCAGTAACTGAAACTGAGGGTCTACAGGCACTTTCCCCTTTTCCCTCCCCTATATAGTGACCGAAATCATAACTTCTATTAACACCTTTCCCTTCTCAATTCCCGTTTTCTCTTTTTGTTAAAGTGAAGTGAGCCACTAAGACTTCATCAGTGGAATCTTCTTCCTCTACTCAAAACTCTTCTCCATGGGTCCCAAACAGTCCTGAACCTCTGAGGAGGTGCAGGCAGGCCGGGCTGACCCCTGACACCATTCTGTGGAAACTTCAGGAGGAGCTTCCGGTCTCCTGGCCTACAGCCACTGTGAGATATAAATGAATGTGTCTGTTGAAGATACTCAATTTGTAGCAATTTGTTACACAGCACAGAAAATTAATACAGCTGGGTATTAAAATATAGGGGGGCCCCTTTTCTTGGACCAATCCTGTATGAACTTGATTAAATTACTTTACCATGTCTGGCATTAGAGCTAGAACTTCCCAGGATGTTAAAACTCCAAGGAACAACCCTAACGGTAGTTATTCATATCATGATTACTTTTCTACTAATATATAAAATCCAAGTGCAAAAGTCCTTGTTTGGAGGACATTCTGGACATGGAGTACATAGGGGTTCTTGGAGGGGGCAACTCTCACTGTGCGCGCGCACACACGAGGTGGCGGTAACAATTCATTTAATGCAGCCCGTCCGACGGAGCATCAGAAATCTTAGGGAGTGTGGCGAATTAGAATAGTGAAGTCTAATTATAGCAAAGGTTCTTTTACCAGGAGTCAAATCAAAGGTGATTGCTAAGTGAACAAGTTGGAAAGAACCCATGGAAATTTTATGTGACAGCCAGCAGGAACAAATGAGCAGATGGAACTGCAGATCTGGGCTCTAAAGATGATGGTTTGCAGGGCCCTCTGGTGTAGAGTGCGCTTCCTCCTGTCCACCCTTTCTGTGTATACCCAGCCACAGGTGCCTTTCTGTGGCAGTAAAGGAAGGGATTATCCCGACCCACAGGCCGTACCCAAGGAGGCAAACAGCTTGTCTAAAGCAACACAGAAAATAAGTGGGAGGCGTCTAACACTAGCTGACTGTTTTCCCTGAGATCCTTGGAAAGGGGATATAATTAATTTAACAAAATGCTTGGGGGATGCAATGTGGGAGGTGTTGAAAGTCCCAGTGAAGATAGAAAAGTCATGCAAAAGCCAACTGAAATCAGGAATATAGGAAGGAAGTATTCCGATGTGATTCAAACTGCAGAAGGGGAAGCCAAAGCGTCTGGGAAGCTATAATTTGAAACAGAGATTTTCCAGGAGAAGGCAGTCTGGGGAGCAGCGGTGCAGGGCAAGACTGGGCCGCACTGTCAAGACAAACGAGGCCAAGGCCCCATGCACTGTGCCACCAGCCATCCTGGGTTTGGCATCCATGTGACTCTGTGGGCTCTGGCTCTGAGAGGAGCCGCCCAGTCTCCTGTCTGTGCCCTCAGATCCCTCTGCCTGGCAGAGAAGAGCACAAGTGACGTCCTGCTAAGGAAGAGAAGGGACAACACTGGAAAGACCAACTTTCCAGTTCAAACTTTGACAAATCATCTTGTTTACCGCAAGTGTGTCCAAATATTACCATGATCCGAGCGTGCCATGGAAGAGTGTGAGGCCCGTAGGCCTAGAAGACTCCCATCCCTAGCTCACCTCGTCCCTCAACGTTCCTATCAACTAATATTATTATTATTATTGTTATTATTGTTTTGGCAGAGCTGAGATTGAACCCAGGGCCTTGTGCGTGCTAGGTAACTAAAAATTATATTAAAATGTTGTAAGCATTCAGAGAACATACATAAGGTATTCGAGCTAGATGAATTATACAAACATGTCTACACTACCAGCACCAGTTTAACATGCTGAAAATCACCAGGAAGAGCTGCTCCTTTCTCCTAACCTCTTTCCGATCACCACTCCTCCCTTACAAGGCAACTATGAAGCTGAGTTCTAAAAGGATAGTTTTGCCCTGTAGGTGGACTCCTACACTTGGTAATTTGTATGTCTGGCTTTTTTTCTTTGAGCTCAACCTTCTGTTTGTGAGTTGAATGCATGTTGTGTGTGAGTCACAGACGCTTCATTCTTACCCACACGGCGTACTACTGTGAGAGTAGTCTGAGCTCTCACTGTTGGTGGCGGCCATTGGGCTGGCCTGAACCTGGGACTCTCATGAACATCTTTGCTCTCGACTTCTGGTAGACACATGTATACATTCCTTCTAATCTTAACTAGCTTTAAAGAGTCTTTGGAGATAACCTTTTCCAAATGCTATATATTCCTGAAGCCCCATAAATTTAACACAATGAGTTATTTTTTTTCCCTCTCTCCTCCTTAGGGAAAAATTGGCAACAACTGCCTGTGACTATTAACGAATATTTTTCAATTAAGGCACACACTGGGGTATTTGTGTGCCTTTCTCATAAGTATTATTGCAGAAATTGGAATTTTTAATGCTTACAAGCATCCTTTGAGAAAAATTTTTTAAAAATTGAGACAGCTTTCTGCTCAGTGGCACTACTAAAAACACAGAGATAGATGTCTATTTAACATGCCACAGATGAGACACTGATCGTTATCATGGCCCTAGGAGAGAGAATAAAAGGTCAGAACCAATAGTGGCTATGAGGAATGCCTTTCGGGAGCACCCAAATAGCCTGGCCCACTTACTCCTTTTTGACACTTCGTCAGAAACCTCTGCTGATTCTCCTTTCTTCCATGCAATAGAGCCTTGGGACCTAGTGGAGGCCTAGATTTATATAACTCAAAGATCCTAGGGAGGACTATTTCCTGCTCCCCCAACCGTTTCTTGCCTTAGAAGAAATTTATTTCCCAAGGAAGACTGAGTATGTCCTCTGGCTCTTCTTTGAAAGAGGATACAGAGAAAGAAACTAAAATCAAGTTTAATCTTGGACAGGTCATCCTGTGCCTCTTGGGCCAGCAGTTTTCCTATAGTACATGTTTTCCTGAGGCAATCCAGATTCAATGTGAGGCATTATTTTGGAAACACATTTTCCATTAGATTGGCTGCCAAGGGCACTATTGACATCAGGAACTAACACTGCTATAGGAAGAGAGAGCAACTCCCATTTGTCTGAATGGCTTTCTGATTTATCATAAGAAAATAGGTCCATTGATTAAAGAATTTCCCTCTCTACTAAGTAACAGAAAGAGACTCGGGCAAACTTGAAAAATAACAGCAAAAGGACTTGTTGGGAAGATACT